ATAAAAAATTAAAAAATTTATTTAAATCATTTTTGACTAAAAACGTATTGAATTATCCCATCCAATTTTTTTATTGAGGATTATAGTTTTTGATCAAAAACACTTTGAACTATCTTTTTATAAAATTGAAAAAAATTATTAAAAATATTTTTTTACTAAAAATATCTTGAATAATCATCTTTAATTTTTATTAAGAAATTATTTAAAATGTCTTCTAACAAAAAATATTTAAAATAGTCATTAAAAATTGATAAAATTATTTAAGATATTTTAGACAAAAAAAAATCTTAAATAATTCTTTTCAATTTTTGTAAGAAATTATTCAAAATATTTTTTAACAAATCTCCATTCAATTAATTAAATAAAATTATTTAAATTACTATCATAAATGACAAAAAAATTATAATAATTATTCAAATTTTAAAATATATAAATTTTCCTTAACTAAAAGAATAAATTTAAACCCGAAATATTCTAAAAAAATAAAATAAAAAATTACACTTTTTCAAAAATAATATTTTTTCTTAAAATCTATAATTTCACGAACTTAACACCCCTTAAAGTAATACTTTTTTTTCTTTAAGGTACCATCTTTTCCAACTTACAAAGGAAAAAAATGCTGTTCTTGCACTCAAAAATTTTGTCAGGATTTTTGATCCATCAATGGTCTGTTATCCGACATAACGTACTAATGGTTTTAAGAGGCAAAAAAATGTCAGAAAGCACTTGCCGACATCATGACTAATCGACTATAAAAGTATCGCCAAACAAAAAGCTGGACTCCCAAGCGTTGAACAAAAACACTAAATGACCCACTTTCAAAAGTAGGTCCATGCCCTTTGCCTAGAATCAAACTTGCCATGTTGAGAAAATTTTGGACACGACTAATGGATCTCATTATTTCTTCTGTAGAAAAAAAAAAAAATAAGTTTTGAGCGTACAGCACAAGAATATAAGTATATACAAATCACCGAAGCAGTGTGGTTCATTGATGAGGAAAAAGGATAAAAAAAATAAGAATGGTATTGTAACAAACAAAAGGATGCTCACAAACTGCTTACTAATCATCTTTGTACTCTTTAGTTGGCCGTGCTTCGAAGCCCCCTTCTGCTCTCTTCTCAAGGGAATAAGGCATATATGTTCCCAGAATTCTATCCCACATGACGAAGAATGGTTGCGAGAAGTTGTATTTGCTACCATAAAGCTGATGATGGACATCGTGATATGCAGAATTGTTTCTAAAGAAAATATGAAACAGGTTCCCAGGAAGTACTAGCCCACAATGGTCATCAACTGTCTTGATGGTGGCGAAAGAGAAGAAAAAGATGGAAGTTCTAGGAGACATGCCAGAGAGGAGGAATGATAAGGCACCACCTACTGTGTCGAGTAGAAGCCCTTCCAGCGGATGATTGTACAGAGCTCCAAATGCATAGGGAACAACAAGACGGTGATGCAGAGAATGGAGGTGCCGATATAAGAACTTGTTGTGGTGGAAATATCTATGCAGAAAATATTGCCAAGTATCCATAACCAACATTGCTGTAACAAACTGTCTAGCTAGAACAATAAGGGACGATGGCTGCCCTGCATAAGCCTCAGCATCACTCCCTGTGACCTGCACAAAGCAAGGTTTACAAATAAAAGTCTACAACATGGTCAAATAATTTGACAATATAAATTGAGTATATTGCACATTATATATGATGGTGAACGCATGGAATTTTTTTTTTTCAATTGACAAAAAAATCAAAAGTGGGGTAAAGATAAAAAAGAAAAAAGCGAATGCAAACTGAAAACTAATCAGCTACAAATTATGTAAACCAAAACAGTTCTGAAACAAAAGAAACAGGAAGCGCTGAGCTTGTCAGTTTTTCATCAGGTGGGAAGATAATTAAGAACCCTATGAATTTTCATGAGATTGTGCTCATTGTAAAAGTAAATTTCTACCACTAAAACTAAAGATCACAAACACAGTCCAAGACAAAGTATATTTCCCCGATTACTTCGCCACATTCATGATTCATATCTGATAAATCATAAGTTGACAGACATATTATTTGTTAAATATGCAGAAGAAAGTCATGCAACATTAGAACATGGTTATAGCCAAAACTTCATAAGAAAAGCGACAACTCAAAATTAACAAGGATACCAAGATTTATTGTCTATAAATATGTAAAGTAACTAATCTCCTACATTAACCCTTGTATGCACCCTAACCAAGTGTTATCTATCCGATATATAATCTTTGATGGGTTCAAAAGAAACCAAATTGAAACTCATGGCTGATTATAGCCAAATTATACAAGATACTTCTGTAAGCAGCCTGGACAACTACATCGCAGGCAAGGGAATGGTGCAAATAATTAACTCCAAATTCTTCGTATAATCTTTTGCAAAGCAATCAAGGGATTTGGAACCCTACATAAAGAATTTGGTCAAACATTATGGGCTAACTTAGCTATGAATAATCTAGCAAAAACTTCTCTAGGAAAAGAAATTCAAGATAAGTAAACAAGTTCCTCCTGAGCTTTGAAGCAATCTCTATATCAGAACTAAAGAAGTAAATTTTTTTTTAGTACATAACGAAGCAAAGTTGTATGTGCCCTAACAGAACAAAAAAAAAAAAAAACCCTAACTTTTTATCAAGGGAAAAACAATAACTTTCTGCCATAAACAGAGAAAAAAGCTAAAATCTAATGGAACCCAACATCAAGAACCATCAGATTCTCCTAAAATCAATTTAAAACACGATCAGTATCATCAAAATTTCAACTAAAATTAATAAAGTAACTTAATCATACCGTACCTTGAACAAAAGGATGGCTATAACAGCCTGAAGTGTTTGTTGCAAAAGAACGCCTTTAACGACGGTTTGTTTGGAAACCAAGTTCTTCTCATCCTCGTCCTTCTTCGAATGCAGTCTATAATTCTCAAACGACGCTAAACACATGTAAATTCCCGAGTAAATCCAATAAACAACAATCGGAACGATAGTTCCCAACAATTCATCGGATATCGCGAAACCCATCCCCTTTCACTACAAGAATTTCAAACAAAACCACATGAAATTAAAAGAAGAAAACTTTGAACGTCTCTGGTCCGCCGTCTGTCTGTTCCTCTAAGAAATTTAAAGGTTTGAACGAAGAGAGATCTGCTTAACGGTCAAAATAGGCACAAAAGAAATGGTTTTTTCTTAAACGATTGCTTGGGTCAATGATTGGAAGTCTAGAAGGTTGCGATGTCGTGAAATGAATGATCTAAGTCGTAGTTAGGGTTGGAAAGAGAGCGGAACATTCGAAATGGAAAAGAAATTTGTTAAAAAGACGAAGACTTTGGCCAAAATATCATGGATGTAATTCGGTGCGTGCGGTTCTATCCTAGACTCATGAAACGGATACGTGGCGATCTATGGTACGAATAACGTGGGTTTTGGATTTTGTTTACGCCCGTGGTTTTCGTGTTAACTATGGTCGATCTAAAACGGCAATGGAAGAGTCGTTTTTGTGGCCTTACAAAGCCTCAAAAGGGTTGGGCCGGGGCCGAGGTAGCCTATGGAAGTTTGAGGCCCGTCTTGTTACGGGTATGTTCTGCTGAGCCCATCAAAAGGTTTTCTGATCATTGGCCCAATTAAATGAACATTACTTTACCTCTTAACCGTCCAATTTTTTTATTTTGAAAAAAAAGGTTTGAATTTTATTTTTTAAATAGAAGATCATGTATCAATCATTAAGTCAAATGACTAGGTAGTTTAAATTTCCGAAATTGAAAGTAAAAATAAAAAAAAATAATGGTATCGAATTTTTTTTTTTATAGTTGTAAATTAAGATATAAATTTGGTAGATCTTAATTATATATTAAATTTATATATTTGTATATGTATGTCAATATATATATGTATATATATATATTATATAAAAGCACCACACAATGCAATCTACGAGTATAATATAATAGTAGCAATAGTAGGTCGGAGTTCAAAGCCTCCTTTTGCTGTCTTCTCAGGTGACTAAGGCATATAAGTTTTCAAAATGGTTGAGAGAAATTGTAATTGCCACCGTATAACTGATGTGGTAGATCATGGCGCTAGGCAGTATTGTTTCTATACAAGATGTGAGAAGGGTTTCCAGGAACCAATAATCCGCAGTGGTCATCCATGCACGTTTTTTATATTGCTAAAACAAAAGAAAAATAGCAAGTTCGAGGAAACAAACAAGAGACGACAAAAGGCTAACGAACCGCCAGATGTATCAGCTAGGAACGCTAGCTTCTAGTGGATGACTGTACGTATGATAATTTGAACCGTAAGATATTTTTTGATTTAATCCGAGCATTTTATAATCTTGTTTTATAAAAAATATCTTATAAATTTAAATTTAAATTTTTATTTATATATCATAATAAATTTTTAAAATATTTTGATGTATAACAGTAAACAGCACCGAATGTGCAGGAAATAACAACGAGCCGATGATATGCTTTGGTGTAAGAATTTGTTGTGGAATGTGAATCTTTGGAGAAATTATTGATGAGTATCCAAAACCAGCATAGCTATTACAAATTGTTTCGCTATAACAATAAAGATAATGGCTGCCCTGCAAAAGCCCCAGCATCGTTTCCTCCTCTCGCCTACACGAAAAGTGAGGTTAAATACATTTTTTTTTTCTTAATCATCAACAACAGCAAACGTGACTCAAATGGATAATAAATGAAAGAGCACAAGCTTTCACATTCGCTTGTCTATACCAAAGCTGAAGCAAAGAGCCAATATGTTGTTGATAAGTCGTAGGAACCTGTCAAATCTGCAAATACATATTGCTCCATCCATAAATGGTTGTCCAGCAAAGCAAGAAATAAATAAAGAGCTATCCATATCCTGACAAGCCTGACAAGTGACAAGGTTGATCCCACAATATCATCTGACCATTCACTCCAGTCCTATCTATGTGCATAAAGAAAAAGAAAAAAAAAAAAAAAAGGATGCTCCCATTTTAGTAATAAATATTCATATCATTCATTTGCTCTTTTAGTAGGCCTAGCTTCAAACCCTCCTTCGGCTCTCTTCTCAAGTGAATAAGGCATGTATGTTCCCATGATTCTATCCCACATGACGAAGAATGGTTGAGAGAAGTTATATTTGCCTCCATATAGATGGTGGTGGACATCATGATATGCCGAATTGTTGTAAAAGAAGAGGTGGAAGAGGTTTCCAGGAAGCCATAATCCGCAATGGTCATCCACTGATTTGATGGTGGCAAAGGAGAAGAAAAGTATTGAAGTTCGAGGAGACATACCGGAGAGGAAGTAAGATAAAGCCCCACCAATTATGTCAAAGGCAAAAGCCTCCAGTGGGTGATTGTAAATGGCACCAAATGCATAGGGAACAACAAGCCTATGGTGATGAGAATGAAAGTGGCGGTATAAGAACTTGTTGTGGTGGAAATATCTATGCATAAAATATTGCCATGTATCCAAAACAAGCATTGCTATAACAAATTGTCTTGCAATATCAGTAAGGGAAGATGATTGACTTTTGGAAGCACCAGCCTCATTTCCTGTCACCTGCACAAACCAAGAATCACCCTCTTCTCGAATTCGGTCACTTTCTTCAAAAAAAACACAGACAGACACACACACATTGACACTTGCTATCTCAAATACATGGCATTTTGACCAAAACAATGGAGAAAAAAATCCTATGAATTCTATGATGAAGAACGGAAATTTATAGAGGATGAAGAAAAAAAGTGAATTGTTTCTTTCTCCAAGGCTCCAAATAATATATATATATATATATATATATCAACAATGGTGTGATTTATTGATAAAAAATTAAATTCTTAATTTTAGAATTTAATCCTTAATAATTTCAAATACCAAAAGCAAAAATAATTAATTGACTTCAACCTCAGCCTAAGGTATGTAAATTAACTTTTATATATATGAGCCCATACCAAAAATTCCAAATTTTATCCCAAATTATTAATCTTTCTCTTTATGCACAAAAGTATTTAAGCCGAGTTTAAAAAAGTTTGAAATGTTGAAAATCGAATTCTAATTTTATCCATAATCATCTTCTAAGAAAGTTTAGTAATTTGAGTTAAACCTAGATTTATATTCAAATTAATTACGCCATTCATCCTAATAAAATTATCATATTTTAACTTTTATGAGTCAATTTTTTCAACTTTATCTTTCAATTATTTTATATTTATTATTGATAAAATTATGAAAAATATATTTAAAACTTAAAAAGAAGTGATTTTTAAATATATGTTTCGTAAAATTTAATTCATAATAAACGTCAAAGAGAAAATTTCGACAAAAAATCAACTATGACAATAGACAGGTGAGTATTAGAATTGGATATGTAATATACCACTAACTATAACTTCACTTGTTTTCCAAACAAATTCGGGCATATTTAGACAAAATTTAAGGTAAAATTTGTAAAAAATTTTAAACATATTTTAATAAAAAATTCAATATCATAAATTAATAAAATTTGATGTAAAAATTAATAATATATAAAAAATATTAAAAATATTATTATAATTTAAATTTAATTGATACTTATTCAACAATAAAAATTATGTTAATATTTTTATTAAAAATATTTATTTAAAAATATATCAAATTTTATTAAAATTTATTAAATTTTACACATTTAATCTATGTAAAAAAAAAACTTTTCAATTTATCAATTTATCAATTTTAATTTTTAATTATTATTTCTAATAAAAATTTCATTTAAATCTTTCTCAACTAAAATAAAAATGGCTTGGGAGCTATTTGCACCCCTATTATTAAAAAAAAAAAAAAAAAAAAGCTATAGCTTTAAAAACAGGTAACCATGAAAAGAGAATCCTAAGCAGTAAATTGATATCGATCTACAAAGTTTCAACCAGAATTATTACACCATAACTCTTACATAACCCAATACAATTAGAATGTAAAAAATAGGAAAAAAAGAACTAGGTTCTTGGTCGTACCTTATATAAAAAGATAGCTAGAATAGCTTGAATGGTCTGTTGCAAAAGAACATTTTTGATGACTTTCTCCTTGGACACCAGATTCTTCTCTGCCTCATCTTGCGTTGGATGCAATCTGTAATTCTCAAATGACCCCAAAACCATGTAAATCCCTGAATAAATCCAATAAACAACAATCGGAACAAAGGTTCCCAGCAACTCATCTGATATCGCCAAACCCATCTCTTCTCTTCTACACAATCCAATGAAGAACACCAAGAAATGGCCGTGCAAATTCGTGCTTATCAACTTATAGCAAACAGAGATGACCTTCAATGACAAACCCTATTAAATGTGGCCAATGAGTCATCAGATTTTATGTAAAAAGGATTTTGAGCAATAAATGTTGAACCAAGAATGACACAGTTCGAAGTATCTTTTAGACATTATTTAAATAAAACAAAAATTTAAGCTAAACTCATGTTCAATGCCTGGTTCGAGCGGTGCCAGATTCACAGGCCAGGCACATCTTGCAATAAATTCGTACTAAGGGCAAAAATAATAAAAACGTGTAAAGGCAAATGTCTCGGATCAATTACTTGGGGCGGCTCCTGCGTACTGAGGAGGGTAGGTCGGGGTTAGTTGATGCTCCATTAATTTTGCAGAAAAATCTTTTACCTTTGGGGAATGTGTCCAAGTTCCAGTTCTAGTTCTCATGTCATGCCTCGTTTTCCAATGTTATTGCTCATACACATGTATATTTTTGTCATGCTTTTTCTTGTAATTAAGTTTCTGAAACCAATTCGGACATGGGTGGTTGGCTAGTTGAATTCAATTAGCTTTTATTCTACCTTTAATAATATTATTATTTATCTTAGATAGTTCAAGATATAGAAATGTCATATACAAAAATTGCACGGCTAACAAATGAAGCATAACTTAACCGATGCACTTCATTAGTCCATTTGCTTACCTATGTGAATCGTAGATCTTTTTCTTCGAATATGAACTTCAGGATCAGCTCAAACAACTTAGGAACTAGAAATGAAGGACTGCATGTCTCTCTACTATACAGCCTAGATCAACTCCTGTGTCTCAGAAACTTCCTTCACAGAGATAAGACTGGTTTGAGTGGTCCGCTTGCTAGGCGCTGAAGAAAAAGCACATATAGATGCGTTCAAGTACAGTTATGCCAGTTTCCTTTGGGTACATCAATGCAATATCTTCTTGCATTTTTGAAAGCTCTGACTTTTTGAGGAGACCTACTAGCAGATTGGTAAACGAGCCATTCCTTATCAAATCTTATTTTTGCCACGTGCGATGTATTCATGTCTGGAAGACGTGAGAATGAGCATCTTTATTTCAAATATCTTGTGTTCTACAGTGAGTTGATATTTCTTTTACGCATGCATGATTCATTTAGCTACTCATATATGAAGCATAATCTTTTCTAAAGAATATATATTGTCTAAGCTACCTATTTCAACCAAAGAGAGAAGAATAGATACAAACTTGAAGATTTTAAGGCAGAGGGCATGAAGGAGTTCTTCAAAGTAAAGAATTATTGGTAAAGTTAAACTCAAATGCATTGTAAAGGCTTTAGAGGGATAGACGTACAAAACAATTTTATGGAAAAATTCACTGCTGGAAGACTTCAGTCTGATGTATGAAATGCATGCAATGTGTGATGGACTTTCTAGCTTGATTTTTGTCGTCTCTTTTTCCTTCTCATATGTTGCAAATCTTACGCTGGATGATATCCTATTCTTTCACTTCCTACAACTATTTTTCAGTAGATATGTTTAGTTGGGCTTACTTCCTATGAATTTTAACTAAATGTTGACAAAAGTAATATAGTGGAAGATGCAAATAGGTAAATGGTTTATAGTGTTGCTTTAGTTTTAGGATGATTTGCAGAACTTTCTATTCTGTCAGTGATGCTCCATTGCTTTTTGTTGGTTTCAAATTAGTGGATTTTCCAAGAAAAATGTGTGCTTTGTTCTGTTTGTGGACGAGCAAACGCTGTCAAAACTGTCTTCAAAAGGACATACTCCCGATGAGAAAGGATAGATGGTCTGTGGAAAATTGTTGTTGGAAGGAACTTACCGTACGTTTAGGAACTTTTGTCCAACTGTAGCTGGTGATGGCAACTTCCACCTGGACTTTGTAACCTCAATATTGACGTTCATCTGATACCAAGCAAAATAATTTTTTGAGTAAGGTCTATGGTGAAGTTGAATATGAGTCTATTGTAGTCCTCGATCTTATTACTCTGAATGTATTTATTAATTAAGCAAATAACGAGTACGGAACAAATGCTAATGGCAGACGTTTAAACTTGATTGCATGACCTTCAATTTTTGACTTGGGAATCTTTGACGTGCATCTCTAGGTCGAAGCTAATGTATTACTCTTCCATAGTAAGACATGTTAAATGTAGTTTATTTAATGAAAATATCTTAATTTGACTGAAAATTGGTTCATAATATCAACATGAGCATAATTGTTAAGCAGGTTAAATGGACCATGATGATTCAGTGAAGAGGTATTTGAGTTCAGAGAACATGTAAATCATTAGACTTAAAAATTACTAGTGATAAAGTTATAATCCTGAAGTTCTTAATCTTTCATTTACAGAAAATTATGCTAGTTTTCTGGGAGCACAAATGCAGTCTATGCAGGGATATCCATGTGAAAAACACAAATTCTGTATGAAGTACACCCACAACCTATTTTCTTCTGGGAATTTTTTTCATGGATTTTTCCAGAAATTAAAAGTGGACCAGTTTTTTCAGATATCTGTAAGTGCCTAATACTATTGTCAGAGTAGACTTCTGCTGAAGAAATGGAGCTTTTTGGCCTTTCAAAATGGTCCAATGTGACTAATAAAGAACTATTGCTAAAGCTTAATTATTATGGGTTTTATTTAGAATTTGAGGCTCCAGGCCAGGTGGACTGTCTGTGCATGCTAGTCATGCCGTTCTTGTTTGCTGGAGAGGGGATGTGCTGTTTTCTCATTGGTAACAAGGGTACTAAACGGTGTGAACATGCAAATTCTGTTGATGAAGATTTTGTACCGTTTGCCAACTTGTTACTGTTTCTGAGTAAGCTATAATTTCTGCTCTGTTATTGTTTTACTTGCAATTCTCGTGAATTTTGTGTGGTTCTGTTCTTGAAACTAAATATCATCTTGCCTTAACTGCTGAGCAAAAAAAATTAGATGGAGGGGAATTCTGTAGGGATATACCCTTTGCATATCCCACAAACTGGCCAAATGCTGCTTGCCTTTGTAATTAAAAATCCAACGGTGTAAATGCTGTATGTGAGAATTGGAGGGAACTAAACTAGTTGTAATAAATTTATGCTTATTTAGTTTCCTCCAACATCTCCTGTGGGATCATGACTTGCATATATGTACATATAATATATGTAGTTAAGTTACCCCTTCAGGTGGACATATCCAAGGTGTAAATGATGCATGTGAGAATTGGAGAAAACCATACAAGAAAGGCTGGTCAGGCTCTGTGCTTGTATGGTTTTCTCTAATATCTCATGTACAGCCTTCACACTCTAGCATTTGAGTTAGTAGGTAATGTACAAAGTAAGCTTCAATAATGTTTTCTCAATGGTTGAGATGTCAATTGTTAAGGCTCTATTGGAGGGAACTTAACCAGCTGGAGTTTGTTTCTATTTGTTTTCTCCGATATCTCATTTCTAGGCTTATAAACTAAGTTTATAAAAAAAACCTTAAATTTTTTAGTTTATAAAAAATCATAATCGACAAGAAGTGAGAATTAGGGTTGCTTTTTTTTTTTTTCATTAATTCAAGAATTTCTAACCTTAACTTTTAAGTTTATAAAAAATCATATTGGATAATGGATGGACTAACAAGTGAAAATTAGGGTTGTTTTTTTTTTTCATTAATTCAAGAATTGCTTATATAACCCATTTTTCATGAGCAGATGTAAAGAAGTGTATCCTTGTCTCAGATTCTCGTGAGGAAAACGAAGTTCAATTGGAATGCAAGACCTCTAGGCATAAACTGCTACGATGATGATTTGAACTCCATATTTTATCGAAGGATTGGTTTGGTAATACTTGAAGTTGAACTGTCACCGATATATTCTAGTTTGTATTTACCTGAATTTTGGAATTAAGGATCCATATATCCTAGCTTTTACACTTGTTAAGCAATAAAAATTTTGTTGAGATGTTAATAATAAATACCGAAATAGAATAAAGAGCTGAAAATTCTATTAACTAAGTTGTTTTCTTATTTAACTTGTGGAATGTGGTGATTTGCAAAGACAGTAACAAGGAAGAAAACAAAATTGAAATTCGATAGACTCTAATAATGCCAGTACTATTACAAAGCATAGAAGGTTGGATGAACTTGGCTGAACCAACCAAACATATAGGGCCAGTCCTTGGGGGTGGGTTGGTCTTGCCAGCAAGGTGTGGACGAGTGGATAGATAGGAGGCTGAGAAAGAAGCAGTGCAAGATATAAGAAAAGCAGAAACAAATCGATATCCATTCAAACAATTGGAGCTTGCATGGTATGTAAAACAAATTTCCACTCACCAACTAGGGTACAATTTCATTTGTCAACACTTACCTTTCCAAAAGAAACAAGAGATCTATTGAAGCCATGTCTTTAGGCTAGATACCGATACAATTTCCTATCATTGTTGTCCCTTTCCAAGAAATCCCGCTCGATAAGAGACTCAATCCGTTTCTTAATCTCCGTTGGATTGGCCAGGAACCGTGACTGTAACTGCTTTGTAACCTCAGCTATTATATTGTTGTGATCCAGCACCCTCCTTGATTTCATTATCCTAACTATTGCAGCTTCAATCTGTGGCTTCCTGTCCTCCTCCACTCTTTGTCTCGTCTCCTGCTTTTCAGGTTCAGATTCCTTTTGTGCAACCACAGTTCCTATCTTCACTTTGTAGAATTTGCTCGTGAACTTATCATTGACAAAAAATGCATCATCCTCCCCAATGTCTTTACTCATAGGTTCTTTCCTGAGAACATTCTTTCCCTTCACACATGCCATTGATTGCAAGCACCTTTTCAAGTCTGAAGCAGGAATCTCAGTGGCCTGTTCAATCTCCCTGTAGCTAAGCCTATCAGCATTGTTAAAAAGCATCAATACACACATTTGGTAAGTTGAAACATTCAACTCATGTTTCTGACCCTTCCCAAAAATTGCTTTTATATCTGCAGTCCCCATGTTAGTTTGCCAGGATAACCTCCGACCAGTATGGGTCCCAAGATAATATGACCGAAACTTCTCGCAGAGTGCTGACATTTCTGCAGGCAGGTTGCAAGTAATACAAGTCTGGGTGGGCCAAGACCCTGTTGTTAGAACCTGAACAACTAGGGTAGGGCCATCAGTTAGCTCAGGATGGCTTGCATAAAACCCTTGCATTGTGTCCTGGGAGGTCTTCATGTCTGTAAACATGCCTTCTAATTTCGAAGTAAATTGATATCCACACTCTGTCTTAAGCTTGACTATCAGACTTCTCTCTGCATCATCAGAGACAGTTTTGCCAGACAGAAGCCGCTTAGCTAAGTGTTGTTTGTAGTACTTTTCAAATACATCCTTCTCCTGCAGATAGCGAAACAGCATCATAACTTTGTCAAGAATAATCTCCACATCCTCCTCACTGACTCCTTTCAAACCTTTACGAAGCTTGTCATCCACAAACAAGGAAATGAACTCGGGAGAACGGGGATTCAAATTAATGAAATATTCAAAAGAGGAGTTCAGAGCATTCTGGAATGTCTTGTCATTGCTAAATGCTTGGCCAATGATATTATCATATTTGTCCTTTTCATCCAAGAGCCGCTGGACAAATTCCACAGGATCTTTCAACCTTTCTGCATCAGTAACCAGCTCTTTACCTGTTTCTCTGAGGTGAGAAGTCATCACATCTCGTATAGTTGAGAGACCATTGGCAACTCTTCTAAATAAATTGTACATTCTACCCAAGTCTTCATACTTGTCATCAAGAAGCATATTGACCAAGCCGGAGTTCTCCATGTGGACTAGTCTCATCATGTGGTTAGCAATCATCTCTTTCTCCACCACATTAGTTATCTTGGCTTCACTCTTGACATCCAAGTAATGGGTAACTCTCTCAATTTCTTCATTTAGACGTATCTCTGCTTTCTTCAGATAGTCCCCACAGTCACAGCACTCAATAAATTTCTGAGATTCGCCCTTATAAAACTCAGCGGAAACCTCAAGAAATGGCTTCTCAAAATCCTCCTGGTAAACAGAAGAACCCAAATCCATAAGCATCTTGATTATATTCCTCATCAGCCCCCGGTCTATAACTTCACCAGTTCGCTCTCTATGTACTAGCTCAAGAAGTGTGCTCAGAAGCCTTGACTGTATTTTGCTGGAATGTATAATATTATCCCTCCACAGATTAAGTCCCAGTTCGTGAACAGGGGTTTTACGGGTATTTGGAATATAAGTCCTGTCCATGTACATCAATATGTCTCGAATCATTTGCAATGCCTTGTTGTGGTCATTCCATTTCCTGTTCAGCTCTTCAAGAAACAAATCACCTTGAGCAGCCTCTATAGATTTTGATATTTCTTTGAGATGTGCAGTCATAGTTGTAACAAGTCCAGAGTACAGCTTCTCACCAAATTTGTGCAAGACCATGTTGTATGCATTCCTGAATTCATGTCAAAAACCAAATATCATAAAGAAAAGATCTAAGTTTTAACCAGCTCATTTGAAATTCACTTAGTCGAGATTGCAAAGAGAGAGAACTATTGCAAGCACAGCAACATGCTAAGCTCAAAAGTAATCTGAAAACTACATGCAAGTCCAACTAGTTGATCAATTACTGCTGCATAGAAAACTACCATCTACCATTACCACAACTGATAAGATTAACACAGACAAACACTTAAACATTTTGTAACTTACAGAATCTAACACCAGACACCCACTGATATTTACCGCCGAACAAACCCGCATAATACAGTCTACCTTAATCGTCAAATGAGCCACATGAGTACACAAACATTAAGGCTTTGCTTGGTAGAGAGGATAAAACGGGGTAAGGATAGAAAACTTGTTAATCTAAAGATTAATCTTCAAAGTAGGAAAACAGTTATAAATTTTAACCAATAGATTAACAAATTTTCCATCCTCATCTCTTTTCATCCTCTCTACCAAGAAAAGCCTAACAGCGCTAAGATCATTCACCGGCAGGCAATTCAATTGTTCCCAACATGTAAATTACTAAACCACCCTGAGAACAATTCCGTTAAATCTTTCCAAGCTTATTACCTCCATAGTCATGTTTAAAAGCTATTTTCAACAACTTCATAACGTAAATATTGTGATCAAGGGATAAGATACTCTTCATAGTTTTAAATTACTTGAACACAAAACCCTAATTAAACTTGCATCTGCAACTGCTCTATAAATTAATAAAAGTTTTCAACAATCTAAACACAAAACCATTGCTGGAAAACCTATAGATTTCAGCATCAAATTCACAGGAAAAAAAAAAGGCAATGATACAAAATACTGAGATCGAAAATACATAAATTAATTGAAATTAAAAAAAAAAAAAGAAGCGAAACCTGTAAAGCTCTTCAAAACTGAGGCCACTAGCATTATGATTGTAAATCTCATGGATTGCATGTTCGAGAATGTTCCAGGTCTTGTCTGCGTATTTCGGATCCACCACGACCCGGTGCTTGAACGCTTCTATCTGGAAATTCCTTTTCTTTTGATTACTCATTTCTTTCCTACCTTTCTCTTTTTCTTCAATTCCGAAACCCGAATCGAACGAAAACCCGCCCAAAAAACCCGAAAAACAAAAGAAAACAGAGGACCGATCAAATTTTAGAGCAATCGATAAAATCGTCCGATTAAAAAAAAAAACGAGAGATTTGAACAGCAGGCCTTTTTTTAAAAGGGAAAGGTAAAGAAGATTTCGCCCTTTTCGGTTGGTTTTTGGATGCCGTTTGGGAGGAGATGAAGTATCTCCAAAGGTTTTTTTTATTTTTTTTTTAACTAACAAGAAACGTTTTTTCTCTTAGGAAGGAAAAACGTTTTGTTGATTAAATCCGAAGGTTGTTTTTTAATCGATTAAAAGCTTTACCGACGACCGGACCGGCTACCATTTTTTCAATATTTGCCCAACGACGTCGTTCAATCAATCCTTCTGCTAGCCGTTCTAATCGAAATTCCCTTTCTACCCCTACAAATCTAGCTTAAATTTAAAGCAGAGATGGCGTAATTGAAACGCTCCTCCCCCAAACACCCCCTATATAAACACCATACAAAAACCGCGCCTTCTACAAAATTGTTCTTCTCTTTCGTCTTTCTTCTTTACTCAATCAAAATTTGTTCTTCGCCTATTCAAATTTTGTTTTCCAGTCAGTGGAAAAGCTTACAGCGAACATGTCGGCAGATTTGTTGTCGGAAAGACCTTTGTTTGGTGGAGCAATCTCAACTGCATTTCCAATTAGGTTTCAGGTTTCTTTCTTTTTCTTCAATTTCATGTTTTGTGATTGAATAACTAATCCCCGTGTTTAATGTTTTACATTACTTTAGGATGTCAGTAACATCAGGCAAGTTCCCGATCATCAGGTTGGTTTTCCCTTTTTTTTTCTGTTTTTTGGGTACTTTTTTTTTTGAATTTGTTATTTATGTATTTTTTTGGGAATTAAAGGAGGTGTTTGTGGACCCTGCTCGTGATGAAAGCTTGATCTTTGAGTTGTTAGATTACAAGCATGAAGTTGGAGATGATGGGAGTGCTATTTGGTTTCTTCGAGACCTTGCCAGTGAACAAGACGGTGAAGGATTCACGGTAATCTTCAGGCTTTTCTTTTTGTGGCATTGTATGGAGATTATCGTAGTTGCCCTTGTATGCAAAGGAAAGAGTAATTTTAAAGCAATTATATGTTTGAATTAGCCTCCTTAAAGCACTTGCCAGTAAAGTTGGGTTCTATGTTTATTTTGATTTTACAGCTGCTCATAGCTTATCCTTTGAGAATGTTAAATTTGAGAAGCTTTAATCTTATATTATGAAAACTAGAATGGTGATGATTTATGGCATTTCCATGTAGCTGACATTCTCGAACTTCAATGTGTTATTCAGTCTAAGCTAGTGTGCTGCTTTGTTTCCATTTATTCTCCTATGGCTCCCACATTTTTATGTTAGTTTTTTCTTCCCCTGTATTACATTTTTAATTCTTGTTTCTGTTTTATTCTAAATTCTGAAGTATATACCAGAAAAGAAAATGTGTTTTTTGCCTATTCAGCTGTATCATTAATAAAATAATAACTCTAATCTCTACATTCTCTTTGATTATTAGGATTAGTGTTCTTTATGCATTGACATGATTGTCCTTATATTTACTCAGCCTTAGGTCCCATTGATTTTAAGGACATCCAATACATTGTTTGTACAATTGGCAATTTTTTTAGACTTGATATCGTTGTAGATGTAACATTTTTCTTTTTTCTATATGTTTCAGCTTCTTGAGCAGTCAAAAGTGGTTGAGGCCCCTGGATTGTGTTACAGAAACATTCCGGCTGTTGTTACAACTGCAGTTGGCCAAATGGTATGAATCATATAGAAGGCATGTAACTAGAGTTTCATTCTTTCTAGTTTCTGCCTACAAGATCCCTGCCTTACCCAAACATTATGTGATTACATTGTGCTCTTCCTTGAGTCTCAATGTTTCTTAAAATTAGCATTCTAACATCCTATTTCACAAGGTAGGTATTGTTACTTTTAACTTCTGTCTGATCATGTCATATTGCTCTCTGTGTACTTTTAGTATATTGCTCTCTGCGTACTCTTAGTTTATATATGTAGGTCTTTTCTCATTGACAATATCAATTTATCATTTTCCTATGGAAGACACTTGAGATATGAGGCTTATTGAAGTAAACACTAGTAATATGTTCTTTTTTGGTCTGTACTAGTGTGTGCATGCATCTGCTTCTGGTAAAAGCATTTGCTTTTTTAACCCTGTTCGGAGGAAATTTATGATTTCAGCTGTGGCCCATGTTATCCTAAGGTTAGGCTGTTTTTAAGTTTTGATACTTAGTAACATTAAGTAGTGTTACTGCATGTTTGGTCATTGTTTCTGTTCTGTAAATGAAATGGCATAATTTTTGGATTGAGATTGTAAGATTAGGTGATTTTAGCAAGGTCAAAGCTCTGTTGGTTTAAAATTTTCTAAACTTGTTGTGTTGAGTTAGTTTGGAATGAGGAATCTGAGATTTTGAAAAGAGTGTATGAATGGTCAGTATCAATCTGATCGATCTGCACCTAGATCAGACTTCATTTCCCTTGGTTAGAGCAGCACAAAAGTTTTGCTTTATTGTCCTTAGGGTGTAATGCCATGAGTTTAAATGGTTGCAATGTAGACCAGCTGGGATAGTAATCTGTGTCTTGGTTGTATGTTCTCCCTTAAACCCTCTGAGAATTATCTGGGATGTTGTTGTGGAACTTGGAAGTTTGGGCTAAGCTATGTGCTTGATGCCTGGTTAGAAAACCACCGGTTGGATTGGATATTCAGTTCCTGAGTTTCTCTGTTCTTTTTCCTTCTCTCTAGGCAGCAATAACAATTTGGCTAACATTTTGGTGTGCTTATATGTGGAAATCTCTGAATGTATAAAGATGTGCTCTTAAATCATTGACTAGTTGGATAATAAATTCTGTTCTGAACATAGGTTTTTTATATAAAAGATCAACAGCATATTGAAGATGGTTCTCATACAATTGCTTTATAAATTCAGCAAGTTCACTGCACTCTCCCCTACCTTCTCCTCCCCTTGTCCCCCATCTTTCTCACATATCTTTTGATACCTTCTATCATTAATTTTGTTATTTATGCATAGGCTGTTTCTAAGGGACGGCAAGGAAGAGAAGCGCAAAATATTATCAAGGTAATTTTTTGTGTTTTCAATCTTCACTGTTTTTATCGAGTAGTTTTAAATTGCTAAGTGGATTCTTGATGAATATCCATGCCAGTTCTATCTTGCAAACATACGTCTTAAGGAAGTTGGGACAGATGTTCTGGTAACTGCATATGAGCCCATCTTGATCAAGTAAGTGTCAGAGCTACAGAGCTCTTCTTTTTTCTATAGGGAAAGAAGGAGACATCATTTCATGGTCCTTTTTTCATTTATGATATGGTTTTTGGCGAATACTAGGAATTTTGTCATCTGATTGCTGGTTGATTATGGAATTACAGTATCATTTTTCTGTAACATTATGATTGCAGCCCTTTGAGCGAAAGTGCTAGTACGGTTGGTGCAGGATTAGCTATCCCAGCTATTCAATCTGGATTCATGCCGATGTTTGAAGTCTTTAAACTAGCCGTTACAAGCTTCAAAGTGAATGACTGGGGCCTTTTTGGTCCTACTGTTTGAGAGATGCGTTAAAAAGGGTACTGAAGGGCAGGTAAAACTCCAGGATTTCCCCCCCTTTCTCTCCTGAAACAGCGTTGATGTTTACGCCTCGGCAGTTTTCAATACCTGTGTAGTAGTAGCAGTAGTCTCCGAGCGTTTCATGATCTCTTTAAAAGTTGTTCATGTTCATTGCCCACCTTACTTGAATGGATTCTTTTGAAAGCCAAAAGTTTTCCAAGGAGATTGAACTGACAATTCTATAATTTTATAATTTGTCTTTCTCTAGTCTATTCATTTTAATATTTGACATAATTTTCACAGGAAAAGATTAAAAAAAACAAAAACAGAGTGAAGTCTTAAAATTTGAATGGTTAACTTTATCTTACGAGACAATGATGTTATTTGGAATTTGCACAAAAAAGTTCTTACTTTATTAGTAATAAATTAAAAAGAAAAAGAAGAATTAGTAGCTAGACGTATAGGTGGAGTCAGGAAAACTTGGCATATAATTCCACAAATTAATTATAATCAATCACCTGACAATCGGCTAGTTGGAAATTAAGAGGTTTAGTGGGGGCCAGTGTCTTATTATATATATGTATAGGTTTTTCAAACTGTTGTAGACCATTAATGGTGAATTTTCTTTGGTGGGCAATTCACATCAAATGATAGCCAAAATCTAGATGATGATTCATTGATAATGACATTCATAGAATTTAAAGGTTTCTTTGAAGCTCCTCGCCATAAGTGACAAAACCATATATATCCATATAATTTCAATCTTACCACACCATTCACCATGTAATACACACACATATAATATATATATATATATATATATATTTCATGGAACTGACTTCATCTTCATGGTTTGGAAAGAAACCTACTGAGCCAAACCGTCCAAGCCTAGCCCAACCCATACATACACACATGCATGGGTTGCAAATGATTCAAACATACATGCATCAGTACTGAAATCCCAAAAGCAAACCAGTGGGTAAACAAAAAGTCATGCATGATAAGACCCAAGTGCTGAAAGAAATAAAATTTATCTGCCCGATCATCAAGTGCTAGCCTTAAATAGCTAAGCGTACACATGCACCTCCGAGAACAAGCACGCACGCAGGGACAGAGAACCTGTTCAGAAAAATATTAAATAGTCTCTTTTTTATTTTTTTTATATTCAAAATTATCAAAAAAATAATTTTAATATTCCATTAACAAACCATACATCACTTCTTCCTAAAATTCAATCACAATAATGACAGTAAAATGAAGAAAGTGGAAATTATACAAGAATTAGAAGAGGGGGCGAAGGGCTAGGGAAAAGAATGACCCACTGATCACAGCCATAAATTCATCGTTTTAGTGCTGGGCTGGCTACGGAAAGTGATGTGGATTTTCTGATTGAATTTTGTTAGCTTTTCGAAACAGGCACATTTACATCATCCATCCTTTGTCCTTTACCTGTTAATCTGTAAATTCCTTTTTAGCAAGTCTTTTTGTGCATGCGAACCCCTCATTTCCTCTGGTTTTCTGTTCTAATTACAGCAATGATCCATTCATAAAACGGAAGCTCCAACACAATGAAAGACTCTGGTCATGTTCTCAAATGGAGCTCATATAATCATAACAAGCTGCCAGTCTCAGAAATTTCTATTGATTTTTTTACTACCATTTCAAAGAAATTTCACCCACCTATATATATATATATATATATATATATATATATCGTGCCCTGAAATAATAAATATGACTGGTGTGGTCCAAAATCCCTTTATAATTGGTTGAAAAATTAATGTTAAAGCTGCTTTGTTCAAAATTAACTCTTCGTACTAAAAGCTTGTTTACCTTTTATCAATTTAGAATCCATTTGAACTGCTAATAAAATTAATTTTAATGAAATTAAAAATAATAATAAAATTATTATAATTATAATTACAAAAAAATTGATCTAGATCTGAATATTTCGGTGAAAATTTTGTGTTACATTTAACTATTTGTATCTCACTCATTTTTTATTTAGATTCCACTACTAGATTTTTGGAACTTAACTGCACCTCATTGAAATTGTAATTGTATTCAAATCCATCCTTAGTAGAAATGATAATGGTTCGAATTGCTAATAAAATTAATTTTAATGAGATTAAAAAAATAATAAAAATTATTATAATTATAATTATAAAAAAAATTGATCTAGATCTGAATGTTTTGGTGAAAATTTTGTGTTGCATTTAAATATTTGTATCTCACTAATTTCTTATTTAGATTCCACTACTAGATTTTTGGAACTTAACTACACCTCATTGAAATTGTAATTGTATCCAAATCCACCCTTAGTAGAAATGATAATAGTTCGGTTTGAATTTGATTCGGTTCAATTTGATTTTTTTATACGTTACATAATATTATAAAAATTTAAAATCTAATTAAAATTCAAATCGAATTAAATCGAACTAAATTTTACTGATTCGATTTGGTTCGATATATCAATTTTTAATTTTTTTAATTTTTATATATTATTTTAATATAAAATTTAAGATATTTAAGTAAATTTTGATATAAAATTATTATTTTTATTTTATAAAAATTTAAAATATATATAAAAACTAAGAAAAATATATAATTAGGCTTAGTTCGATTTTTTTCAATTTTTCACACTCCAATCCAAAATTCAATCCAAACTTAATATGTACATTTAATATTCAAATATAATCCGAACCGAATAAGAAAAAAACTAATCTAAACCAAATCAAACATTATGATTTCGAATTAATTTTCAGATTTTTTAATTTTTTTCTCACCCCTATTAAATAGTAATAACATATATACAAACCCATGATTTGTTTGATATAAAAGTTGTAAAATGTTGTTCAATATATTTATGTTTAGGGTTCCGAAGGATAGTGGTTATGTCGTTGGCTTTAGTACTTCCATCGGAGACAACCTTGAGATTATTGGTTTCATGTCAAGAAACATTGGTTTTGGTAAGAAAATTAAAACTAAAGGAACGAAAAGAAATGTGAAATTGAAACAATATCAAGGCATGGTTCAATTTTGGTGTAGGGAACTGAATGACATGACAATGTGGTACATTGATATCAAAATCACAAGATTTAGTACGAATGAAACTTAATCCAAGGTTGGAAACAATGTTAGGAAGGGTCATCATTGAGATCAAAACTGCTACGATTAAAAGTACTTGAAAATGGGCTTATCATATAGTTAGGCATGTTGGTTATTGAAATATGTTTTGAAAGTGGCCATATTTTGGCAACGTGCTTTTTTTTTTTTTTCCCTTTCAAGCTACATTGTGCTTTATGTTTCCCTCTCATGGCCAATGGTTGGTGGGTAAGTATTTCTAATTTTCATTCTTATATGTATATATTTCACTTTTGTGGCATATGAACTCAAAATCATAATAGAAAATGTGTTGATTGTTGAAGCCTTCATGAACAACATATTCCTTATGGGCAAGCAAATTGGTCCGAAGATTAAGACTTTTTTTTTTATCAAAAAAAGTTTAAGAGTAAAAAAGATTATCACATTTTTAAGATTAAGGTAAGCAATTAACTCGTAAGTAGATTTATGAATTTTTTTAAGACGTTTTCAACTTACAAATCACTTATCAATAAAAGATCTTGAAATTCAAATCCGTTTTGTATTCTAACTTTTAAATCTTAACCACTTGTGTTAATCTTTATTGATGAACATTAAGACTATCGATCTTACGAAATGGTCCTCCTATCCTACAAAGTTTTAAAAAATTTTTGAGTGGGAAGCCTTTTGTATATGGCAAAAATTGGGCATATGAGCTTTTTAAATAAAACTTGTAAGGACCACATTTATATTGCAGACTGTATGGCTCACATGTCCAAAGATGGAGACCTGTAAAGTGTTGGGTATAGACTCAGAAATCTACTCAAAGATTTGTCCATTGAGTATCTTTCCCTCCGATCAGTTTATACATATTCATTGAAACCAAGAAATTTATTTACAAGAAACCAAAACTTGGACTTTCTTTTACGAAGTAATTAATAATACAAGAAAAATTACAATTCTATTCAAATATTATTAAAAAAAAATCAATGAATTAAATCTAAGGATATAAAGTTAGACTAAATTCACGTATGATGAAACTTCTGTCATTGGAGCCTACAAGAAATGGAGAATATATTGTTTATTCTAGATAAAGCAATTGAGGTAATTCAACAATAAGAAATCAATCATCTTGTATTTTGATGAAGACTTTGAAAAAAAAAAGGAAAAGAAAGAAAAAAAAAAAGAGAAATTAAAAAGGATGGGGAGATTAAGACAAATTTGAGTAATCCATGCATTGTTGAATTTTTAATTTGAGAAACCATTGGTTCCATTTTAATTTGTATAATTAGTAGTAGATTTTAGATTGACCAAACATACTATAATATACACTAGTATCACTTTCATCTACATATATACTAATTATTAGTAATTTTTTAGTTTTTATACAAACAGTGACATCTTTATGAAATTAAAAAATTACATACATAAAAGATAGCATTATATATAATAATTTATTCGGATCAAAGTGAATAATTCTTTTCAAGTCATATTCAGGGATGAGAAAAAAAATTAAAAATTTGAAAAATTAATTCGAAATCGTAATATTCAGTTCAGTTTATATTGGGTTTTTTTTTTATTCAATTAGGATAAAATTTGAATATTAAATATATATATATATATTAAATTTGGATTAAATTTCAAATCGAAAGGTGAAAAATCGAAAAAAAATTGGAACCGAACTGAATTATATATATTTTTTAGTTTTTATATATTTTAAATTTTTATAAATAAAAATAATAATTTTATATCACAATTTACTTAAATATATTAAAATTTTATATTAAAATAATATATAAAAATTAAAAAAATTAAAAATTAAAAAATGATAAATCGGATTAAACCGAACTGATAAAATTTGATTCAATTTGTTTCAGATCAAATGAAAGTTCAATTCAGATTCAGATCCAATTTTAAACTTTCATAATATTATATAATATCCAAAAAAATTAAATCAAATTAATCCAAATCGAATCAAACCGTTATCATTATTGCATTATAAATTTTTAAAATATCTCGATATAAAATTGAGATGTCAGAAAAAGTATTGAATGGTACGTTACATATATTTAAATTTAATTAAACAAAAAAATATATTCTTGAATTGAAAACACTAGAGGCAGCAAAACCAGAAGCATAATCCCCATCTAAAACCTAGACAAAAATAATAATATGTATTTGTTTTTAAATTAAGAGGAAAGGCAAACGACAATAAGTACAACAATGGGATGAGGGGAGCCACTTGATTAATAGCTAGTGCATATGATTTTGTTGTTCTTTCCTTTAATTTGAAGGAGTGAAAGGGAGTGTTTTCTTCGTTTCAGTTATTTTAAGGGGATGAGGTCCCGACTCTCAGCCAAGGCCACCACTACCTTAATTTGTGGATTGAATGATAAACAGTATCGCACGTGGAGTCTGAATCAAGGGACGGTCCAACCACAATAAAAGGATATATAAAAAAAATTACAATTATAATAAGATTAGGGTTTTTTTTTTAGAATAATAAAAGTAAAAATACATATAAAAAGAATTTTAAAAAACAGAAAAGTTTAAAGGCATCCTCAATGAAACAAAAAATTTCCAATCCCAAAAAAAATCATTGCCTTTTCTTAGCCCACCCTTATAATTCTTACTCATTGTAGTTGTTGCTTAAAGCTTGGCCTCTTCCCTTATCCTCTCTTTCTCTCTTTGCAGGGAGAAAAGCAAAGAAAACAACAGAGCTGCCAGGTTGAAGGCAATTCCAAGCAGCTATAAAACATATTGCAAGAAAGGGAAATAGAAAGAGAAAAGAGAGACCCACCAGGCCACCAAAGTCACTTAATTGAGGGTCACCTACAGATCATGTGTTAGGAGTGAAAAGAAAGGGGGAGGGGTTGGGTAGATTAAAGAACATATAATCCCACACATGATTATGGATGGTGAAAATGGGATCCGCAGGACAAACTTCCCTCTACAGTTACTAGAAAATAAGGAACAACAACAAGAACAACCTTGTTCCAACAATGTTAACGATGAGACAAGTTCTAAAGCAACCTCGGAAGCATCCAAGAAACCTCCCCCTAAGAGGACTCCAACCAAGGACAGACACAGCAAGGTGGAAGGCCGTGGCCGCCGCATCCGCATGCCTGCCACGTGCGCTGCTAGGGTTTTCCAGTTAACAAGAGAGCTTGGTCACAAATCAGATGGTGAAACCATTGAATGGCTGCTTCAACAAGCTGAGCCTGCAGTTATCGCTGCCACGGGAACAGGTACTATTCCTGCAAATTTTACGTCCCTTAATATTTCACTCAGGAATTCAGGTTCCAGCATGTCGGCTTCCCACTTGAGGAATACTTATTTCAATCCAAATTTTTGTACACAACAATTGAGGATGAGAAGTGAGTGGGAAAGGGATTTGCTTGACGACTCATCATCTTCCCAGCAACAAAGGAGGATTTTATCATCAGAGGATTCATTAAACTTTCCTGCTAGTAGTAGTAGTGTGAACGCTTTCTTGCAAGCTAAGCAAGAGTTGCGGGACTCTAGTCTGGCTGTCTCGGAGGAGGCGGTTACTAGTATAGGGAAGAAGAGAAAGCCCGAGCAGCAAGAATTGTCAGAAAATCAGATGGGGAGTTACTTGATACAATCAACTATAGGCTCAATTCCATCGAGTCATAATCTGATTCCGACAACGTTTTGGATGGTGACAAATCCTAGCAACCAAGCCATTAGCGGGAGTGGCGCTGGGGATCCTATGTGGACATTTCCTCCAGCTAGTAATACTAATATGTATAGGGGAACTATGTCTAGCGGGGTGAACTTTATGAATTTTGCTACTCCAATGGCTCTTCTGCCTGGACAAGAATCGGGTTCAGGAATTGCAGCTGGTGGTTCAGTAACCGACAGTCATTTAGGCGTGGTCGAGGCACTACACCCGTATAAGCCGATTCCAGGCTCCAGTGTTTCGGAGTCTCCAGCCAGCAGATCACATCAACACCATGGTGGAGAAGATAGGCATGATTCAACTAGCTAGTGTTCGCCATGCCTTCAGAGCAAATTACAAGTGTATGGCTTAATCATGCTTTATTCTCTTTCACTTATTTTTAGTAGTACATATATGTGCAATTTGCAGCTCGGGCTCTAGTTTGAATGCTATGAAATTGAGTGTGATATTCGATTTTGGTGTAGTGAGTAATGAGAAATTAATTCATTAGCCAGGTTCTGATATATGAGAATTAATATCATTTTAGCGGTTCTGTTGAGGTCCTTTTTTGGGGCGTGGCTAAACAGTTTGATATCAGTGTCGGTTAATTTGTTAATATCTTCAAACATTACCTCAAGGGAAAGAGACTTGATACGCATGCAATATTGCATAGCTAAGTTTCATTACTACCTTTCAATTGATCAGGTTAGGTTTAACAAGCTCGTCATCATAGCTCTTCCTCTTTAATTCTCTCTCCCTCTTTTCTTCCTGTTACTGTTAACATGATTAGAGCTTCCCTTGATTAATCCTTAACTAAAATGATGAGAGTAGTGATGGCCCTGATGGGGGCTTTCAGTGTTTTGAGTGCATTACTTACTGTTCATCGCTTGGACTGATCTCTCCGCAATCTAAATTGATGCTAACCTTATTCTGCACTATTTCAACCGCTGCCACAGGCGTTTGTGATTCTTGGTGCCATTAAATCATCAGCAAAAAAAAGTTCAATCATGTTTCAAGAATAGAGGGAATAGCCCACATGTGATCACATTCAGCCTTTGAGGTTTATTCTCTTAGGCAGTGAGCCCCCTTGTACAGTGCAGGTTACTAAAAGCAATCAGCAACCACTAACTAACAAGATGATCATTGCTCATCTTCTTCATGTAAGGAAGTTTGCTGGTGATATAGAAACTGATGGTTGGTTTATATATATATATATATATATTTATATATATATATATATTAATGTCCCTACCGCCTGGATATTTATTCACCTTTGAACCCTTCAACAAGCTGTAGGTCATTCTAACTTTGATGGATTTCTCTCTTATAACCTTTTAATCTACGCATGCATAACAGGTAATCCAAGAAGTGGGTCTTCTAGGCATTTAAGATCATCAGTTGTTTCCTTTCTGTATGTGGTGAATGATTGCATATTTGCATTTGCTTCTTTCTTCTTCTTCTTCTCAAACACAACTTAGATTTCCAAGAGCAGCATTGCTGCACGTTGCAATGGTGATTCTGATCTTTGGGTCGAAGGTTTTTTCTGAACTGGGAAATTAACCTTTCTTTTGGGAGCATTTCGATGAAGATTTCCATGCAAGTTTTCATTCTCAAAAACAGTGCCTGATATATTTTTTGTCAAACTAGCTAGGCATTCTCACTAAGACTTTTTTTGGGGGGAGGATTAGTCGCATCAAAACCTTACTGTATAATTAACTTTAATATATGAACGTACATGAATTTGCACTGCCTGATGACGACTGTTCAGGATATCAGTTAATTGTCAAATAATAAACAGTTTGATGAATTCTTGTTTATTATCCTGCAGGATCCCTGTCAGACTGCTTTGTTTTGCAGCAATATTATTAATTATGCACTGATTTGCATATATAGGTCAGCAAGGTAGTTCTGATTAATTGAATGATCCGGTTAACGAGTATTTATAAGTATTGATTAATATCTTTTTGATTATTATTAAAAAAAAATTGTATTTAATGCGTTAGTTTCATTAAATATAAGATCTGATCATCAGGTAGGAGATGATACTTTTGAAGGTTCAACAATGCCGAACTATAAAGTCAGCAGAAGGAGGATACTGATAACACATTTTCAAAGTGCAATGTCACTACTTTTCACAGGCTGTCGATTAGTCAAGTGGGTGGCCACTCTAATAATTTCAGCATTCAATAATTGAGATTATCTTTGCTTTGCTTGCCAACTGCAAGAGCTTTCAATGAAAGTTATGAAATAATGGATCCATCTGCTATATCTTATTGAAGGGAACCGTACAAATTCATCATGCACTCTTTGGCCCTGATGTCAAACTAAGTATATTTTCGCTTCTATCATTTAAACCATTGCCAATGTAGAGCATTAAAACTAAGCAACGTGACACTTTCTCATCCTTACCTTTTTCTGAGTCGTCATACCTATATTCACCTGGAATCAAATTCAATTTTAATGACCATGAGTATGAGTAGTCTCCCTAAATGCTTAAGCTAGTCTAAATCCAAATTTGGGATCTGGCCATATATATTTTCTACAATGAGAGGCTGCGGTGTATGACAGTCGTTGAATATCATTAATAAGCATGCATGTGGGTCCCATATTATAAACTGCAAGCTATTACAGGCCTAAGCTTTCTGCAGGTTTCCTTGATTGTACCTGTCATGGCTTAATTTCTAAATTGATTGGAATTAAAGGGGAAAACATAATAAATAGATCGACCAGAAAAGTGGGCCTAGAGCTTAAATTCAAATGTCATGATCATGTACATTGCTAATCAGTTTCTATTTTCAGACCATTCAACAGAAAATTTTCTGCTGAGCCGGTCTTGCTGAACTGAAGAAAACAAAAAGGAAGAAAGATACAGTAAATTTTTAAAAGTACAAATCTGATGCATTCTTAATATTTTTCACTCCCTAAAGTTCACCGAAAAAACTCCTTTAAAGGCCAATATTTTGCTACAAATATATCAATCAAATCTGAAAGCAACATCAGTCAAATTAATAGTAGTTGTTGCAAGTGGCAACTATATATGGATGCCACTGTATATGCCCCGTAGAGAAGGCTTTTATATCTTATGTACCCAGACTTGCATATTCAGGGCTCCAACATTGAATCGCTCGTTTTTCTTCAAGATTATTTCCTATTCCAAGCCCGGACAGCCATCGCAATCAATGATATATAGAGCCCAAAATCTTATCAAAACCCACACAATAGAGGGCCCAAAATCTTGGGCTATTGCTAAGGACCAAGATCATGCATCTAAGGCTGATCATCCCTTACGTGGCAAGGTTTTGTTGTCCTTTATGTGGTGAGATCATATGCACAACCACACCTGATTAAATTCAAAGAAATTCGGTGCCTCTTTTCTCGTGCAGCATATGATTCTCTGGAAATTTCTGTTTTCCAATCAAAAAAGGCGCCCTTTACCCCACATTTCCTCTGCTTTTCGTTCTTTACTTTCAAAGTTTAATCTTGAAAGCTTTCACATTTGCCCCCTGCTTGTGTTTTTGCTCTCTCTCTCTCTCTCTCTCTCTCTGCTTTTAGAACCTGAAAGGAAAAACCAAACAAAAAGCTCAATTTTAGTAAGCACAACAAGAAGCAATGGGTTCCCAGAACTTTTTTCAAGTTGTTGCCAAGAACTTTGATGTTCTTGCTTTGTATGTCTCTTTTTTGCGAGCTTAACTTCACTTTATATGTTATTTTTCTAATAGAGTTTTTGTTATATTTTTTTTCTGGTTTACAGGCCTCTGGTCACTCTTGTTTACCCTCTGTAAGTGGGATTTTCCTTGATTGAACAAAGCACATCCTTAACATTGTTAGTAGCATATATGCCATGAAATTTTCTTCTTCATATGGGTTGCTTTATTTCGACAGATATGCTTCGATTAAGGCTATAGAGACCAGGTCTAGCAGCGATGATCAGCAATGGCTGACATATTGGGTCCTTTACTCTATGATTACACTTTTTGAACTTACATTTGCCAAAGTCCTTGAATTGTAAGTAAGCTAAAGCAAGCTAGCTTCATAATACAGTTCTTAATTAGCTAAAACAGAATGCTTAAATCTGAATCATCATGGTTTCCATTGTTGAATCCATCCAGGTTCCCCATTTGGCCATATGCTAAGCTAATTGTGACATGCTGGTTGGTCCTGCCTCACTTCAATGGCGCTGCATATGTTTATAGTCACTACATTAGACCATTTTACATGAATCCTCAAAGAACCACAATTTGGTATGTCCCTCGCAAAAAGAATATCTTCAGCAAGCCAGATGACATCCTAACTGCTGCTGAGAAGTACATTGAAGAGCATGGGACTGAAGAATTCGCAAGGATGATAACCAAGGTACACATCATCTCCATATATCATGTTATACGTTGCAAAGTGTTCTGTTTCTGAAACATAGGATGTTCAATTTGCAGGCTGAAAAAGAAGAAAGAGTGAGGCGCAGCAACAATTACATGATTTTCGATGATGATTATATATATTGAACTTTCATATGATCATCTTTCATTATAAATCTAGTTGTAAGACGTTAAGAAATTCTAATTATCTATATGTAAAATGGCAATCATCTTCATGATGTGGCACAAAATATATATGGTTTCTTCTTATGTTATAGTTTCGTTTTGTATAAAATATACTGAACTTCTCGCAAAAACTTAGGATATGCCAAAATGCAATTTCATTTCTCAACAAAACTATTAATTTTGTGTTTTATTTTTATGTTTTATTTCATAAAACATAATATAAATACATAAATTTTAATATTTTATATGACACAAATCGTCATATCTACAAACATAAAAACTTTGTTATAAAAATGAAAATTTAATGATGTGGAGACTCGCACTCAATTGGGGGATATTGTTTGTTTTGACCTAAAAGTTTTACTGCTTTATTTCATCCCAAAATCTCACGATTTTATCCTACAAAAAACACCTCATAAATTTAAATTTAGATCTCAATATACATATTATAGTGTAACTTCAAATCATCTCGATGCAGGATTAGGACATTATAAATTCATTCGATTAAAGCTTAACGTTCTTACTAAACTCAATATAAAGCATACAGATCTACCGAATTACACCAAATATTGGGTAAGCCCAATACAGCATACATAGATCACAAAATTACACTAGATATTAAGATTTTAAAGGTGATTGCTACCGTATAGCACTTAGTTCCTATTTGACTAATAATCGTTTTTTTTTTATTTGTGAAGATCTGTACCTAACCTGTAAGATATTATTCGTTTTGATCTGAAGATCTTACGATTTTATCCTAAAAATGACACAGAACTTTATATTATTTCAATATGAAATTGAGACGTCACAAACTTGTAAAGATTCGTATCCAACTTGCGAATTATTATTTATTTTAACTTAAAATTTTGATAATTTTATCTCATTAAAAATATTTCATTAATTTAAATTTAAATTTCTATTTATATATCTTAACATATTTACACAATCTCCTTGTACGAGATTAGGATGTTGCAAATAAAAAACCTAAACGATTATATGACAAGCATGCTAGAGGTGCGAATTTGGGCTTGGGTCACAGGCTGGATTGTTAGACTTTTTGCATTGGTTCTATGTTTTTGGGTAAAGCTTTTCTTTAACACTTTGCCAAGTTAAACTGATTTGGGTTTGGTGAAGCCCAATTTAAAAGAGACAACATTATGTTTCATATAGTAATGCATTTGTTCTTTTGGGCAAATAATTCTAAAGTGAATTGTTCTTTTTCTTTATAGAACAAAGAAAAAGTATACTTTCTTTCTTTCTTTCTTTTTTTTTTTTAAACTTGAAGGCTCAACAATTTCAATTTAAGCAAACAAAAGCCTTTTGTTTTCTTACTCAATGTATAATTAAAAGAAAAAAAGAAAACCTTTTCTTTAAACGAATTAATCATGTTTAACTCGGTAAAAATTAAATATAACTTTTTTATGCTAAAATAATGATTAAAAACTGCTTAATTAATTTAAGTTTGAAATATTACTAAGTCAACAAAATTAAATTAATTAAATTATAAGAAATTTAAACTTAAAAAATATATATATACATAAACAAAACTTTGAAAAAAATTATAAAGTTAACATTTCAATCGGGATGATAATTGATAGTAAATAAATTAATATTCATTGATATTTGATTCAGATAACTATAAATAGATAATTAATAGATTCAGATAGAAAATTTACTATCCGTAATAAATTTAGAATAGATATAAATAATATTTCCTGAATATTCAATATTTAAATTTGTTTGAATTTTAATGAATAATAATGAATATCTAAATCCTTATTTAAATTTATTATTTATTTACATATGTAAAATATATAAAATTTAAACGGATAGTATTTATTTAAATAAATTTAGATTTGAATAATATTATTAAATTAAAATAAATATTAAAAATTTTTAAATATTATAAATATTAAATAAATTCAAATATGAATGTATAAAATATAACAAATACCCACTCATTTCCCATTCTTTACGTATTAATCATCTAAAAGGTAAATGACCAATTGTGTTTTTAAAGAATACACGAAGCATCCAACGTCAAATTATGATCAATCATTTGATGTCACCAAGTTCCAAGTAAAGTGGAAAGGTAATATCGTGGTCCATAACGCAGGGGATCATTTCTGTGATAACGAAGCCAATCCAGAGGCGCCAAATGCTGGAACAAACAACGGAATTAACAAAAGACAAAACCGAACAATCCCTTATCCCGGATATTTTCTGTTGATGACGTGGCATAATGAACCTGTTCAAAAACCGAAAATTTCATAGACAAACTGACAGTTAAAAAAAAAGAAAGCTCCCCCTTGTCGGACAAACAGACAGCAAGAGACAAAAAGAAAAATCAAACCTTTTTTTGTTTTTTTTTTTTTTAATTTTTTCAAATGAGAAATTTTTAACCAAAAGAAAATCTCAAATTTCTCGTTTCCTCACCTTCTAAGATCTTGAATATGTATTTCACAGCTGTCGAAATTGTCTGTCAAAAGCTCAACGGCCTCAAAATTTGTTGAGAAGAAAAAAAGGGGTGAAATTTTGGCTTTGTTTCTGGCATTGGAGGTAAAATTACATTGGCATCGTTTAAATCGAACTCTCTTTGAAATGTGGAAGAAATGAGGAGTTGTTTGCTATATTTTGAAGATAAATATATGAAATTCTAGGGTTTGAAGTGGGATTTGAGCTGTTTTTGAGAGCTGGAATGATCGAATTTATGGGTTAGATAAAAAAAGAATTTAAAATCTTTTTGTTTGTGGCAAATTCACAAATGGTAGCTCTGTGAAGTGGTCGTGTTTCATGGAGCAAAGTTGGAAAGTAATAAAGGTGGATTGGTGGTCTAATGGCTTCACCTTGAATGGCTGATTTCCAGAGAAGTGGTCTCGCCCAGAGGGATATCGACCAGGTTTCTTTCTTTTCTTTTTTTCCCATCTTTTAATTATATATTTCTTGTTTTCTTAGTGTTGGAGATTAACAAAGATTTTCTTTTTCTTTTTTTTTTTTTTTGGGATTCATTTTACAGGCCATTACAGCGCTTAAGAAAGGAGCGTACTTGCTCAAGTATGGACGTAGAGGGAAACCCAAGTTTTGCCCTTTCCAGCTCTCCAATGTATGTTACCTTCACACGTTTTCCCTTTTGAAGTTTGCGCTGCTGTTTTCTTCTCATTTTTCTCGTCTTCATTGCTACAATATATAAATGCTTCTATTAGTCATTTACTTATATTTTATGTTTCTGGCATTGTTGATGGAAAATTTTACTACAAATCTTTGATAAGTCAATCTAAACCCTCGAATTGAGTTTTAATCATCACTGAAAAGAACATGAATTGTCGCTGGAAAATTCCTTTATTCCTCGGTTCTTTGTAATCAGATACTTGAGGTTGTGTATTCTTTTTTCTTTTTCAGGATGAGTCTAAATTGATATGGTACTCTGGGAAAGAAGAGAAACTTCTTAAGCTTAGTGAAGTTTCCAGGATCATTCCTGGACAGCGTACTGTGAGTTTTGTACTCTTTGTTTATTCTTTGATTCCCAAAACTTTCATAACCATAATGGTTTATTTGGCTTGCAGGCGATTTTTCAACGATATCCTCGGCCTGAAAAGGAGTATCAGTCATTCTCATTGATATACAGTGACAGGTCCTTGGATTTGGTGAGTGCATGTTTATGGATGTTCTTGTAGCAAACAGAGTTGTTAAATGTATCAATGCCAGTAAATATAATGAAGCTACTATGGTGTGCGAATATTTTGATTTGATAACATCCTTCACCATGGGCAGATATGTAAAGATAAGGATGAAGCAGAAGTTTGGTTAGTTGGTCTTAAGGCGTTGATTGGTCGTGGTACCTCTCGCAAGTGGAGAATTGAAGTAAGAAGTGACAGTGCATCACTAGATAGTCCTCAATCACGCAACCAAAAAAATTCTCCTTTGTCGCCATTTGTATGTTCTAACATCTTTTTCTGTTTTCAATTTTATGGAAAGCATGATAATCTTTAAGTACTTAATTTTTGTTTTAACTCTTTTCTCATTGTTTCAGGATCCAGGAGATGCTCAAGGAATTCAAGCACCTTATGAGGCACACAATAGATTAGGAAAGGCATTCGCTGACATAATTACACAGACTGATTTAATCAAGAGTGCCAGTCAACCAGATTTAGTTGACTTTGGCCTATTATCATCTGGGTCTGTAGAGAACTCAACTAGTCGGAGTTCTGGGGCTGAAGCAATTAGAGTCAGTTTATCAAGTGCTGTAAGTTCATCAAGTCATGGTTCTTGTCGTGAAGACTTTGATGCCTTGGGTGATGTTTTCATATGGGGGCAAGGTATTGGTGATGGAGTATTGGGTGGTGGTGTGCATAAAGTTGGCAATGCATTTAATACAAAGATGGATGCACTTCTTCCAAAGGCCTTGGAATCAACATTGGTTCTAGATGTGCATAATATTGCTTGTGGGGGCAGGCATGCAGTTTTAGTCACAAAGCAGGGAGAGATTTTTAGTTGGGGGGAGGAATCAGGTGGCAGGCTTGGGCATGGTGTGGAAGCAGATGTTCCCCATCCTAAGTTCATAGATACTCTCAGTGGAATGAATTTTGAATCAGTAGCATGTGGGGAGTATCACACTTGTGCTGTTACAGTCTCTGGGGATCTTTTTACATGGGGTGATGGAACACACAACTCTGGTCTGCTTGGGCATGGAAGTGAAGTCAGTCACTGGATCCCCAAAAAGGTAAATGACATGGAGGGTATACATGTCTCATATATATCCTGTGGACCTTGGCATACAGCTCTGGTGACATCTGGTGGCCAGTTGTTCACATTTGGAGATGGATCGTTTGGTGCCCTAGGTCATGGAGATCATAGCAGCACAACTATTCCACGGGAAGTGGAGACTTTGAGGGGGTTAAGAACAACAAGGGTTGCCTGTGGTGTTTGGCACACTGCTGCAGTTGTTGAGGTTGTGACTGAATCATCTGAATCTGGATCTCCAGGTAGCTCTTCCTCAGCAAAGCTGTTTACATGGGGGGATGGAGAAAAAGGCCAACTTGGACATGGCGACAAAGAATGTAGACTTTTTCCCAAATGTGTATCTGCTTTGTTTGATGACAATATCTGCCAGGTCGCCTGTGGACATAATCTCACAGTTGCTCTTACAATATCAGGACGAGTGTATACAATGGGGAGCTCGGCCTATGGTCAGTTGGGGAGTCCTACGGCTGATGGTAAGGTTCCAACTAGGGTTGAAGGTAAAATAGCAGACAGCTTTGTGGAAGAGATTGCCTGTGGATCATATCATGTTGCTATTTTGACTTCCAAAACTGAGGTTTATACTTGGGGAAAGGGCACAAATGGGCAATTAGGTCATGGAGATATTGATGACAGAAATACACCAACGCTTGTTGATTTTCTGAAAGACAAACAAGTGAAGAGTGTAGTTTGTGGTTCAAACTTTACTGCAATTATAAGTCTTCATAAATGGGTATCTAGTGCTGATCATTCTGTGTGCTCCGGTTGTCGAAATCCATTTAATTTCATAAGAAAACGTCACAACTGTTACAATTGTGGACTAGTCTTCTGCAAAGCATGCACCATCAGAAAATCTATGAAGGCTTCTCTGGCTCCAACTATGAACAAACCATACAGAGTGTGTGATGACTGTTTCGCTAAATTGAAAAAAGGTGCAGAATCTGGTTTCTCTGTCTGGAGTCCTAAAGCCAGAAATGGAATTTTGCCTCGTAAATCCAATGACATGATAGATAGAGAGGCCTTAGCTCCCAGGTTACAGATACAACTTTCCAGGCTGTCTTCTGTTGGCTCAAGTAATCAGGCTGAAAGCTGGAATTTCAAGCGTGAACTAAAACTAGAATTACAAAACCGCCCCCTCTTTCCAGCTTACACTGGAACTTTTCATCTCGGAGGATTTTATTCACCAAAGGTATCAATTTCTCCAGTTGGGGATTCCAAGAAAATTTTACCAGCTTCCATATCTAGTTCCAGAAAGACTTCGAGGGCAACATCTTTTACTTCAGGAAAGTCAAGCCCAAATCGATCTTGTGTAGTAACTCTTGATGATTCAAAGCAAATGAATGACAGTCTCAACCAAGAGATCATAAATTTAAGGGCACAGGTAGCCTGTTGAAATCCTTTTTAGCAGTTACAACTTCGTTACTTATTCTGTTCAATGTGAGGCGTTGGCATTACAGAGCAATGAGCATGCATTGTTCTTTGCCTGGTTTTCAAAAAGAAATGGAGAAATTATCTACTATAGTAGTTTGGCATTTAATTTTTTAAAGTGTATATTTTACGGGCTCAATCATGATTGTCATATATTTAGAGTTTTGGAAGGGTTTTCATGCTAAATGATTTTGTTTGTTGACCAGGTACTAGGGTTAGAGACTAGTCTATAAATACCCATGTTATTTTCATTGATGGCAGCCTACGATAATGATGTGAATTATCATTGAGATTTGTTTCTCTATTTCTCTCTATTGATCCTATGTTTCTTCTATTTTCTCTCTAAGTCTTCCCCTTTTCCCTCTAATTCCGTCTCCCTTTCCCCTATCTCCTCTCTCTTTCTGCTATTGTTTGCTTATGGTGATGAATCGTCTGCCAGAGGTGGTTTCCTTGATTAGATTGTCAAATGTCTGTATTTGATCAGACATATTTGTTAAGGAAAGAATGTATGAAGTGCAGCAGGTTGTCCAGATCACTTGCTTATGCAAACCAAAAAGAGCCTGATATTCCTCCGTGGGAAGTTGAAGCCTTGTGTATTTAAGCTACTGCAGCTGGAATAGGAATGGGATGGAAGCTGATCAATATTTTAAGTAGTTGGGGCATAAGGTTAAAGTATAAAGGGAGAGAGAATGAAACTCCCTTTGCTGTTGACGTTTGATTAACTTATTTATTGAACTGTTATACTTATCTAAATTAAAAGGAAGCAATGAGAAGATAAATCTGCTGAACATTTTTTGCAGGTTGAAGATCTTACTTGCAAATCCCAACGCCTTGAAGCTGAACTTGAAAAAACATCAAGGCAATTAAAGGAGGTCACTGCCATAGCAGAAAATGAAGCTGAAAAATGCAAATCAGCCAAGGAAGTTATTAGGTCTCTTACTGCTCAGGTTGGATTTCTCTGCTCATGATCTCACTGTTCAGATTTAGGAAAATAGATGAACACAGTTTTAATTGTTTGAAGACAGCATGAGTTTATTTCAAATTTTACGACATTTAACGAGGTATATACAAAATAGAGTAGGCATCCTCAAGACCGATGTAAACATGATTGCAAACCGGACAGTATAATCTTGGTTTTCCAAGATATGGAACTAAAAGTTGTAAATCTGGGTTGTCTTTGATATGAAGCCGTTGAATTAGCAAGTTAGGCTGTAATCAGACAATTCCAAATAAATTTTGAAATATGGGAAGAGCACTTCCTGATCTTCCTATAACAAGTAAATCTGGAGAAGAAAGAAAGGAAAGAGGGAAAAGAAATCCTACTATCATGCATGTATAATCATATGTGATATAGCCACTAAAGGCATTTTTTTCAAGTACCATAAGCATTGTAAATTATACGGTATACATTTTTTAGGCTTAAAATTAGATCATATGTTCTTGAGTTATTATTACTTTTGATGTTTAAAAGAGGAGAAATCATATGGCTTGCAGTATGTTATAAATTGTCATGAGTAACATTTAAACCTCCATGGTCAAAAGAACTAGCATGCTTGCAGTTTCCTTCTTTCCCTTGAGGGCTGGGGATTGCTATTGCTTCTTGTGCAATCACATGCTCCTTAATTAACTATTCTTTGATATTGTCTATGTTCAACTGATCTTGCAGTTGAAGGAGGTGGTTGATATACTTCCAGCAGGCCAGAATGCCCTCTCCAATTCCAGTTCTATTGCCAAACACACCTCAAACACTGAGCACCTGTTCTCCAATAACAGCCATGAAACCAGCATGATGTCTTCACAAAGTGAAGTAAATGGCAGTTCAGACAACCTAACCTTTTCTCATGGAACCAAAGGACAAACTGAAAAGTCAGGGACGGTCGTTCAAGATGAACCAGGAGTATACATAACTTTGTCACCCTTGCCCAATGGCCGTAATGAACTCAAGCGTGTTCGCTTTAGGTATGCATTCATAATCCTCTCTTTGAAGCCAACAAAATTGATTTCCATTACTGAATCTTCTAGTATAAAAACGCTTCAATATGCTTTTGACAATTGCCATTTTTTCCTTTTTGTGTAATGGTTAATTCTGACCATTTAATAACAAGAACTTGAGTAGCTTCAGAAGGAAAATATTGAGTCTAATTGTACCGACGGATTTTATGATCTTTTTGCAGTCGGAAATATTTCACAGAAGAACAAGCAGAAAAGTGGTGGGCCGAAAATGGGGCTAAAGTTTGTGAACGGCATAATATCCTAAATGCATATTAGTTATGAAGATTGAACACCACTGGATTCTCTTGAAGAAGACTGGGTTGTGAACTCTTCTTATCCACTGGAAACTGTAGATTTCTTGTCCAAATTACACAAAAGGAGCTTTTATCAAGGATACCAGCTTAGAATTTCGCAGGTAGAGTGAGAAAGATATTAAGAATGTAGGAAAGAAAGTGAAAGGATACAAGAAATTGCATTTTGAAGTTACTATTAACTTTTGCTGCTTTTTTTTTTTTTCCTTTTTCTTGGATCCTGAGATTAGTTAACAGATTATCTTCTACTTTGGAGCATTTTTGCCTATTTTGTACACTTACTGAAAGAAAATCACGGAAGCTCTGCATTTTTTCAGTCAAGAACACCATCGTATGCCCTTCGATCTGAAATATCTTCATAGTGTATCAACGTATTATTGTATTTAGACTCAACAAGTGACCACTGTGGCTGTAGGGATAAATTATAAATATGCAAGCAATATTCTTTGTTAATTCATTACAAAATTACTATATGCATGAGTTAAACATGGTGCTTGCAAGAGAGTTCACACTTGCATCATCTTGCACCTTGGAGCTCAGTTACAAAATTCTCATGTTGCATATGAATGTAATTTCACATTGAAGATGCTTGATGCAGCAATCTGTTACAGCCAGCGGTGAAGAATATGTAGGCAGGAAACAAACTACATCCCCTTCAAGCGGGCCAGATTGCTTCCAATGTGTATTTTCTCGTCCTTGAATGGTTGTGTTGTTGTGTCTGACAAACTTGGTAACCGAGAAACACTGCCCTTTGCCTTTTCTCGCATTAGGACCTATCTTCTCTATCATGTATTTCCACCTATCGATAGGTCTCCTCCGGCTAAATATGTGAGTCTTAATAAAACTAGCTATCCGTATAATTTCAGAAAACCAAAAGCAAGCATTGAGAGTAGCTGATGGATCGTCAGACTAGGAAGACCAAAGCAATGATGACAAAATGCTGATAAATAACAACACACACCTGGAATTTACAGTAAGCAATTCGGCGATCAAATTCTTGGAGGAGAATATCTTCTTCCCTCTGTGACATCTCCCATAAATTTCCATCAGGCGCTTTTGATGTTGTTTCCCAACCATCAGGCTTATTTTTTAACCCAGAAGAGCTTGGAATTTTTGAATTTTCCAAGTCGGCGTAGGCAGTGCCAAAAATCCTGCCATTACACGTGTTAGAACGATTAGGGTAATTACACGTCAAAGTCAAGACTAATTTTTATTCATCTGAAATCTGATTTTATATTTATAAAATCTGAATTCATCTTAATTCGAAAATTTTTTTATTTTTTAAATATTCAAATTTGATTCGATATAATATTATATAAATTATATTTATTTAATTTAAACAAAAATTAATAAAATATTATTTATAAATATAAAATATTATTTTTTTAATATAAATATAACATTAAATAAATATATAAATACATAAAATTAAATAATTAATTAAAAATAATTTTTTATATATATATGATAGAGTTTTTTTAAAATCCGATCGATCCGATTTCAATTTTTTTCTATTATTACTCTATTCAAAATTTAATTTTTAAAATAAAAAAAATCTCATGAATCGAGTCGAAACTTATGGGACGAGTTGGACTACCAACCTGTACCCAACAACTGCAACTATAAAACAGAGAACAGCCACCCTGGCTTGTAGAACCTCCCTGGCTTGGAGTAACAGAAAATCTCCGTTGCTGGTTTCTGCTTAAACCCCCTTCAAAGGCCTATAAGCTGGACCATCGAAGGGCCAGGGGGCATAACCAGCTTTTGTTTATAGTTGGATCTGGCTTGGCTTGAAAATAACCGTAAACAAACTTATAATATATGTGAATTCTTTACAAAAATACCCCAAACCATTTTCAAACAGCCCAATACTCAGTTCTTTGCAGTTTGCGACCCACTCATGCTGTAGAGATTGGCACAAACTAGCCCAAGTTGTATGCAGGAAGCCAGAGACATCCATCTTTGTATGCATGGACACTGAGAAACAAATAAATATTCCATATTTGTGTTTTCGAAGTTGTTAAAATGTTCATTTGCAATTTTTCTCTGTAAGAAATGGAATTCCTTTAATTGGACTTTTGTGGTGCCAACCAGCTGGTAAAACTTTAAACTAAACAGTAAAGCTCCCCAATAATGATCACAGTTGTTGGTATGCACTATGCAAAATCCACTTTGTTTGACACAAATAGAGCTGCAAATTCCATTTTTGCATGCCAGGAAAGGGATTCTGGTACTTTTTATGCTCAAATTCCTAAATTCTGAGGCTTTTGGAAAACAAAATTATGTGAAGATGGTGATTCATTTCAGATCATGATCATAAGTGACAAGATTTTGGGAGGCATTATGGAGCACTGTATGGCATTAAATGAAAGTAAAGAAACAAGACAGCACCATTTTCCCTGAATGATCATAGAGTTATAATATTCTAACCCTTTTCTCTCCTCTCTTATTTTTCTTCAATTATTGTGTTGAATTGAACGAAAAGTATCAAAACAATTGCTTCTGTAAAAGATCAGAAATTTAGTTGAAGAAGAGATGACAACTTTCAGTTTCCAGCCCTTTGCCCGAGCATTGAAGCTGGAAGCCCATGTTTCATGAAGAGATAGAAATGGACTGACAAGCGACAGCTTTTCCACACAGAACCAAAGGACTGGTTTTTCATTTTTAATCAACTGTGTAGGCTTTTTGCCTCTTTTTTGCTCAATCATTAACAATATTTTGTCGTGATCGTTGAACAAATCTTTGGCTTAAAGCTTTTTTATCAAGTTGCTACTTCAATTATTTCTCTTTTCTTCCTTAAAAGAATTTGGCCCCTCAAGAAAATAGATGCTTGTAAAGGTGATTTGAAATTTCAACTTTTTTTTTTCAGATGAGACGTGTGACAATAAGTGTGCATTTAACCACTGTATTGCCTAAATTAAGTGCCTTCCTTGATTTATATATTCATTGATATAGTCATCAAATACAAAAGGACTTGTCAGTATCAATTAGATCAATTCTTAATCCAAACACCGTAATAATCAAATTAAAGTTGGTCGATTAAATCAAAACACTAACAAAAAAGAAAAGAAACGAGGAATTGTTTGCAAGATGAGAAAAACCTGATAATCTTTTAGGCTTAATTCAGGTTCAACTAACTAAAAATCAACCATGATTTGAAGAAAAAATCAGATAGAGAGAAGGTCCACACACATGAAAATGCAACTAACTACCATTGGTCGGGCTTTTTGTACTTATTTGAGATATTTTATGCATGTGCGCTTGATAATCTAAAGCATGATATAATGATAAATACGAATAAAATATATAAAAATAATATAATTTAAAATTTTAATAAAAATATAAATAAATTTAATAAAATAAATATTTATATTTTATAATTTCACATTGACACAAATTATAATATATAATTTTCGTACAAAATATGATATAAATATATAAATTAAAAATTTTTTACATAATCTAATATATGAATTGGTAGATCAACATGTACAGAGCCAAAAACCCAACAAAAGTTTGATGTTCGAGGAAGCAAAGAGAGGGAAGAAAAGACGAATAACTATCAAAGCCAGGCTGTTAGTCTTTTTTTTTAATCAAAACAAAGCTGAATGGAAAGTATTACAAGGACTATGTCTCAACAATTCAGTTTGTTTGATGGAATCGTCAAATTTCTTTTGTTTGCTGTTACGTTTTAAGATTTATTGATTAAAATTAATCCTATTTACATTTCACTAATTTCGATTTAATTTCAATATAGAGACTACGTCTCTCCAATTCATTGTCATCACATCAATACATCTTTTTCACGCCATCTTTTGGGGGTCATTTGTGCCGTTAAGAAATTGAAGCCAAATATATTAAGTGTTTTGTTAAAGTCATATTGCTGCATTAAATACATTAATTCATAATTAATTCGAGATAGCATTATTTTATGTCATAATTTTAAATTTTCACTTTAAATTGTTATTTATATATGTAAAGAAAATAACAGTGAAAACCCCACGCACAAGCATTCTCTTGACTTCAACTTGTTATTAACTGCTTAGAAATATCAACGAAGAAGATTAGAAACTAACCAGAAATTGATCTAGTTAAAAGCTTTAAGTTATAGATAACTATTTATATATTCGTAACGTATAAAATATTAAAATTTATATGTTTTTATTATATTATATATATAAAATATAAAATAGATAATATTTTTTTTATTTTATTAAATTTTTATTATATTATTTTTATCATATTATTAAATTTTTTATTTATTTTAAGCCACAACTAAAAAGATCATTGCGGACACGCCACGGCCCCTCAACGCTGTCAAAATCGAACAATAAAAATGAATGTTCCACGTTTAAATGTCAAATTTCAACATCATTTACTTGTTAAAAAAAGGTTGAATTTTAATCATGGGGATAATGAATAATTTTAATTCAGGACTTCAAAATTCTGGGTTTCGACCCACTTGGAATTTGACAGCCGCTAGCTGCCGTGTAATTACCGAAACCTACACGCAACTTTCTTTGGAAAATTGTTCCTAGTCTTTGTTGATATTGATATTGATATTGATTAAAAAAATTAATAAAAAATAGTTATAATTAGATTGGTTAAGTGGTATTATTTTATATAGGTTAAATATTAGATTATTTGTGATTTTGTTTTCGAATTGAGTCTATTTATTTTTATGAAATTGATTTTAAATTAGATAATTAATAAAATATTATACTCCAGATTTTTTTATGTTTTATATATATTTTTTGAATTTGTCATGTAAAATACCATAGTCCAAAATTAATAATTATTTTTATAACTGTTAATAATATTAGAATTCTTACAATGATTTTATCAAAAATTAGAAAAATTACTGTTGAATTATGACTAAGCAAAAGGCAATGTTGAATTTAAATTTTCCTCTTAGTTGTAAGAAAAAATTTTTAAAAATTAAAAATGCATTTGAATATTTACTTCAATGGTAATTGAAAAGAATATGTTCGGAATTCAAAGAGTTGAATTTGAAATTTTTTTAATTTAAATAAAATTTCGAAATTTTGGTTGTAATCGAAGGAATGTGTAACTTAAAACACTTAAAAGAAAGACATAATGATGAAATTTAGTGGGCA